CCGGCTCCTGGCCTCGGCCCGCCCCGCCGTCCTCAGCCAGCTGCGCCAGGCGGAGCGCGGGACTCTGCGTGGGCGGCCGCGGGGCCCGAGCTTGCGGGCCGGCCCTTCCGCAGCCGAGGCAAACGTGGCTTGGTGGCGGCGCTCCGCTTGCTCCGTCCACGGCGGGCTTAGCGTCTCCGGCGAGGTGCCCGGAGCCCAGAGGCGCTCCCTGGGAGGCTCGGCGCCGCGGAGGGCGTGGGCCTGGGCTGTCGCGGCGTGGTCGGGTGCGCTGCTCGCCGTCCTTGCACAGGTGACCGTGGAGTCCCCGTGGGGTGACAGCGTGGCCACCGCAGGGCCGAGATGGAGAGGCGTCGTTGTCCTCGCCCTCCCCCGGTGCACCTTCTAGTTGGGGGGCAGCGCAGACCGCTAATACGGCCGCTGCTGAGCGGAGGGTTCGCTGTCGGGTGCGCGTCAGGTACTTGGTGATAGGGAAGTCCTGTCGGGAAGGAGACTTTTGAGCCCAAGTCTTCGTGAAAGAAGCTACTGTGCGGAATTGTCAGTGTTTCAGACCCTGTAGAGAGCAAGTTCAGTATTTTTAGGCACAGAATGTAGCCAACATGTAATGAAAAAGGAGGAAAGCAGTTGGGGTGAGGGTACAGGTGGGATGTGAGAGGTTTGTATTTTATTGTTAGTGGGACACAGCCATTTATTTAGGCGTACCTCAAGGCCCTTGCCTTGATAGCCCTTTAATAGCTTTCAGTTATTGTATGCTATGAATGGCAAGAGGAAATGAAAATCAGATTCAAAAGTACCTGGGTTTTTTGCTGGTTGCTTTAAGATATAGTGTACTGAGCCAGTTGTGGTGGTGCACGTCTGTAAGAGGTTGAGGCCAGCCTGAGCTACATGGTGAGACCCTGTCTCAAACAACAACAGCAAAAGATATTGTATTTTCACCAGATGTGGTGTTTTATAATCCTGGCTATTCAATAGGCTGAGGCAGGTGGATCAGCCTCTGCAGGCAACTTAGTGAGATCCTGTCTCAAGAGAAAATTCAATCTCAAAAGACTAGATGTAGCCAAGAGATAGAATAGATGCATAATATGAACAAGTCTCTAGGTCCAGCTCCCCCCAAAAGTCGTGTACTTTTTTATGTGAGACTATATTCAATTACCAATTTTGATAAGCAGCAATTGAAAGAAAAATAGTAGTAATAATTCAATCTATCTATTGAGGGCATGGGACACATACCATACCATTTTCTTTTCTCCTTTCCTGCACTGGGGATTGAACCCATGCAGAGTTTTTGCTCCGAATTACATCCCCAATTTTTTTATTTTTTAAGACAAGGTCTTGCTAAGTCACTAGATTACCAGATTAGGCTCAGACTTGCCTGCCTCAGCCTTATCTTTTCAGAGTGCCAGCATGCCCAGCTAGACCTCATGTTTTATTACACTCAATACTAGAAAGAATTTGGTTTTGTTTATTCATTGTTTTATTGATGAAGAAACAGACTGAATGGATCAGAAATTTGCCCAGGGTCTCATAGACTAGTGATAGAGGAGTCAGGATTTGAAGCAGACTTGTTCACTTCTGAACCTATCCTTTATATCTCAGCTGTATACTGACCTGACATTGGCCTTTGGTTTTCGTGTTGGCATTTTTTGGTTGGCATGTATATGGTCCTGTTTGGCATTAGTTACCAGTGCAGCCTCAGACATAATTATCCTTGGGAAATCATATTTTGTCTTCGGCTATGCTTTGTTTCTAACTATCAATAGGAACAATCCAAGAATCTGCAGCTGTTGAATATGTACATCTAATGCAAAGGCTCTGCTGTGGTGCAAGCTGGAGGTACTAAGACAGTGGTTTCTCTATGCGAAGCTCTGTGACAGCAGGCAGGAGTAAACCTAAACTTTTGCAGCTTGCTAAGTGCTTGGTGATAGCTTTGCCCTGTGTCTGCTGTCTAAAAGACATAGAAATGCTAATGAGAACTCGTCTTTAAAAAGTACAATCATAAAATGGATATTGCACGTTTAATAACAGCGTTCTTCTGACATACCCGCAACTGTCTGGTCCTCCTCCTTTTCCCCCAGAGATTTGCCTGTGCCAGCAGTCTGAGGTAATGAGGCCCTAAGTGACTGAATCATGCTAACTAAAATTCAGGGGAGTCTGAGGATAGACAGAAAATGCAAATGTATTGCCCTTCAAGGAGAAGGACCATTGCCACAGTCCACTCTGGCACAGTCAGGGAGTTTGTCTAGTCAGCTTCCAGGGGACCTGCATGGGACCAGGAGCTGTTTTCATGAATTACTAGAGTAAGTCACAGTCTCAGGGTCCTGCATTCTGGAGGCTACACAACCCCATACCTCAGGAAGGAGGGAGAGTTGTTTAGGAATCAGGAGGTGTCTTGTTTGGCAAGAAATCAAATAAGGGGAATTGAGAGTGGAGTATGTGAAGACCTCAGGCTCCCACAGCTTGATCCATTTGTTGCCATATTTGTCATCAGTGGAACTTGAACATTCTTGGCAAGTGCTCCTCTTTGCTGGCCATTGTAAGTAAGGGCATGGTCACAGAATGTCTGTGGTACATTCTATCTGGGACTCCTGGCTTCCCTCTTCTGCATATTTATCTTTTTGAGTGTGGTTCTTTAGTGTCCTGCTCCACTTCAGTAGGTGACATTGCTTCTCTTGGCCATGGCCCTTGTGCTGTGCACTTCAGTCTATAACTTTCAAAGCCATTTTTTGTTCCTCATCTAAACTGTGGCTTTGAGCTTTTCCCACTACCACCACCCATACTGGGAATTGAACCTAGGACCTTCTCATTGTGCTATATCCTCAGCCCATTTTTTATATTTTGAGATAGGGTCTTGGTAAATTGCCCAGCCTGGGCTTGAATTTAAAATCTTCCTGCCTTGGCCTCTCAGAGTGCTGGGAAATCATAGGTTCATGTCACCATGTGTAGGTACCCAGATAATTTTAGTAGGAATAAGTAAGAGTTTTTCTGCACTAGATGTTCAAGGATTCTGATCCTTCATCTTCTTACTTTGGAACTACACTATTAGCTTAGTTGTGAAGGGCTAGAACTTGGCAAAGGCAAAAATTAATGTATTAACCTATGTGGAGTGCCACTGTGAATGGAGAGAGTATTGAGGTGATGGAGAGAGACTGGGAGTAATAGTTTCAGCTTTCAAGGCCTATGTAGTATCATGAAGCAGAAGAACAACATTGCAGGGACGTGCTGTGGTTGAAGTACATGTACATTATCAGTGCAGTGACAACAAAAATAGATCTTGATTTTACCTTAGGGTTCAGGAGAGACTTCAGAAGCAGTGCCTGATGTGGATGTGGAAAAGTGGTGGGGACTTTCATTCTCCGCCATCGGGCTGGCTTTCTGTCACCACAGCTTTTTTTTTTTTTTTTTTTTAATGTATTTGGTACAGGGTCTCGGACTGGTAGTGGTCCTTCTGTTTTCAGCCTCCTCAGCGCTGGGATTACAGGCCTGCTCAACTCGCCCAGTCTCGGTATATAGCTCAGCACACCTGGGGGTGTGGTCAGTGTAGAATGTGGTGCTGGATCATGTCACCACAGCCTTTATCGACAGATAGTGGGGATATGGTTAGGCGTCGTCATCCCTACCAAGCAGAAGCAAAGATATTTCAAAGCAAATTAATTGTAAAGGTTTTCTCTTGCTAAGGAATTTTGCAGGATGACCATAATGTGGTGAACTAGTATTCAGCAACGCAGTGGACTCTGCAGTCCTCTAGATTTATCCCTGCCCATCTGTTTTGCCTTGGGATGGCAAGCCTGTGATGCAGGAGCACCTTTGGCTTCCTTGTGCTGCTATGCCTACCTTGCTTTGTGGGTGTCTTCACAGCCCCCCATCCTGTGTGGCTGACTCACCACCAGCTATTCCTTGAAAGTGTCTAGAACTGGTACTGAGGAACAGGCTTGATGGTTGTGACAGTGGCTTTCCAGAGGCAGACCCTGAGCAGTGGTGATTTTCACAGGGGTCTGTGAGGTATTAAGGACAAATTTGTAGCTCAGACCTCTCACCAGGCTCCAGAGGCCTAGTGATCTGTCCACAGAGATGGAAAAAATCTCCCCAGTGATGAAAAATATCACTGATGATTGTAGAGAGGGTGAGATTGAAAACTGTCTTGCACACAGGATTACTTTTTGTCCAACTTCAGTAACTTCCTGCATGTCTGTGACTCAGGCATTGTTTTAGTCTTCAGATACTTGCATGTGCTAGGTACCATTAGTCAGACTCACTCCCAGCTCCTGTTGTTTATGGTATTTTGTGCTATTAGCCACAGTGGATTTGTAATTTCTAATGTTTTCATACGTTCTTATCACTAGTACTTCCTAGTTCCAAGCCCTTTTGTTCGTTTCACACAATTAGCACTATGTAACAATGGTGGCACACCTATGGCACAGGTGCCACAGCTGCTGTTTATTATCGCTGAAAACTCTGCCATCACAGATACACATTTTTTTCATGTTCTTAGCAGTGCTATTAAGAACAGTGCTTAACAGCAGTGCTGTTAAGACAGTGTCTCTGTCCAGAAGGATACGGAGCAGCAGAAAAAAATACCTGGATTATTACAGCTTATGACAAATATTTATAGGTCTGTATGAGGCACATTTCTGTAGTAAACATGGACTGTGGCTGACTCATCACCAGCTGTTCCTTGAAAGTGTCTAGAACTGGTACTGAGGAGCAGGCTTGTGGTTGTGACAGTGGCTTTCCAGAGGCAGACCCTATGCATAGGCCAGGGTGTACCCATCAGTCGCTGTAGCTGCCCTCTTCTCTGGGTGACGGGTGTCAGAAGGCAGATGAGGATGTAGTGTGTGGGCTGACAGGAGTGTGCTGCTCCTCATCTGGTCCCGAGTCCGCGTCACGCCTCTGATAAGGACCACCCACTTGGGCTTCTTGTTGTAATTTCTGTTGGGATTGAGAAACTAGGGATGGCGGTTGTGTAACTTGTCACAAAACATGCTGAGTACAGAGCAGAACATAGAGTAGTATAAAATTTATCCCGAAGTCACTAATGCCAGCATTCCTGCAGAATGTCAGATGTTCACAGAATATATCTTCTGTTGATGAGGAAATGACTTGATGTCCTCTGTACAGCTTGGAGTTGATAACCAGTTGCTAAATTTATTTTTTTTATCCAGTTACCAAATTTAGAGTGAATGTGTATTTCCTTAAATTTAGCTCAACAGGATGAATTGAAAGGGTTTTTGTTTATTAGTCTATTGAGACATGGTCTTGCTATTAGTTCAGGCAGGCCTTGGAATCACTATATAACCTTTGCTGGTCTTGAACTCATAAGGCTCCTCCTGCCTCAGCTTCCCTGGCTGTGGGATTACAGATGTGCACCACTATGCCCATGTCATTTTTATTTTGACACAGAATCTGAACTGAATCATTAACATTCCCAGGATGGGTTCAAATTTAGACTTTTCTTGTTTAGCCTTCTAGAATGCTGGGATTATAGGCATGTGCCTCCGTGACTGACTTGGCAGAACATTCTTCAGCTAGCTCCAGTGCAGACTGTGAATGCCTTCATGAAAAGCCCATATGTGACTAGTTCGTTGTATCTTCAAAACACAAACACTGAGGCCAGGGATATAGCTCAGTAGTACAGTGCCTGCCTGGGAAGTGCAGGATCCTGAGTTTGATTCCTGGCACCAAAGAAATAAAAACAAACAGACTAAAACATAAACACGGGGGGGGGGGGGGGGTAGCCCCAGTGGCTTAAGCGCCTGTTGGGCAAGCAAAGAGACCCGGGTTTTGGCCCCACGAAAAAAAAAAAAAAAAAAACCTCTCTCAGACTGGGGATATAGCTCAGTGGCATAAATGCCTGCCTGGCACGCACAAGGTTGTGAGTACAATCCTTGGTACCTCACAAAAATAAACGCTGAAAATATTAGGGATCATTTATTGAATGAACAAATCTGTGTTAGCTTCTAAATGAAAATTGAGAAGTAAATGTTAACTTTGTAATTGTTACTTGAAATCTAATAAATGAAGTTTTATAATAGTTTTTCTGTTTGCCTTCTACCAGGTTTCATGATGTTGGTTTGTTTAACTGCAAGCCATGTATGAGACTTTAAAATTTGCCCTGGAAATGGAATACAGAGTGAGGTCCTTCCTGGGAGCTCTGGGCTGTTGCTAATGGCAGAAACTGTGCGCATTCCGGGGTCACTTGTAGCCCTTCACTGTCTGCTCATCCTGGGCCATCCTGACCATGGATGGTGTGTCAGCCGAGCACGATGGCCTCTTGGAGGACAGACCCAGCAGCGACACCTCAGCTCACCCCGAGGCCCTCCTGACTGCCCTGGACTCACTGGCACTGCCTGACCAGCCGGATGAAGTCCAGTGTAAGTTGTCAGTTTATTCTGTGTTGCTGGCATTTGCATCTGAGCACAAAGATGTGAATGGCAGGTGCTTTGGAGAGGTGTCCCGAACCAGTGGGTCAGTCAACGAAGGTCACCTGGGGGAGGAGCGGGGAATTGAAGAGGGGAACAAAGGACAGGAGACTCGAGAAATGGAGACAAGACAGGATTCTGATCAAGTCTCGTTTATTTAGGGGAGGTGCTGGGTATATATAGTGGATGCATAGGGACATGATATCCGCGGGTAAAAGGCACAAGTAACTAGGCAAACGGACTATGACAGGAAGTCCCACCACCAGGGCATAGCAGGAGACTTATGGGAAATAGGCAGGGTGAGAAGGACCATAAACTCAGCAGGGGAATAGAAACTTAAGAAGACAGCTGACACTATTATAAAATGGATAGCAGTTAATGGCAGAGTATGTGCAGGTTCTGGGCTCTGTGTTCAGCTTTGCAGTCACACTGATCCAATTGTTATCTCTTCACTTAGCCTCACTTTGTGGGAGAAGATATGCTTCAAATTGACTTTGACACCAGCCTATAAAGATGGGAACCGGGGCTCTGATTAGCCCTTTAATAGTGCCTGCTAGAAAGATTGTCAACTTTGTTTTTTTGCCTTGTTTTGTTTTGTTTGAGATAGGGTCTCACTATGCCCAGAGTGACTCTCTAAATGCTGGGTTTAAGGCATGTGTCACCACCCCTCCCTTTCTTTTTCTTCTTTGAGACAGGATCTTGCTGTGTAGTCATCAAGATCCCCCTGCTTCAGCCTCCTGTGTGCTGGGATTATAGAATATTCCATCATACCCAGCTTCTTTTCCTATATTTTAAAAATACACTTTCATAAAATCTCTTTTCTCTCTCTCTCTCTCTCTCTCTCTCTCTCTCTCTCTCTCTCTTTCTCTCCTTTCCTTTTTTTCCAAAAAAAAAGGCTTTAATTGGAAAGTAAAAGACAAGGCTTGAGTGTGTGTAATTGGAGGGGGCACACTTGACACAGGGAATTAACCTAGCTCACCTGCACAGATAAGAGGGCTGCCTTACAGGGTTAGCTGAGATGGATCAGGATCCAGTGGAGATTATTATCTTACTGAGGTGGAATCCTTGTAATTTGAAGGGCAGTTTGGTTCCATTGGGAGGAATCCTCCTGGTTGCAAGCTGGTCCTGTCCCCAGAAAAAGATTGTGTCTGTGGTGGTTTCAGCCATAAAGGACATTGTTTTTTCTAGAATACAGGTGACCACATAGTGAGGATACTGGCTGGAAACTGGACACAGTTGAATGTCAGTCCCTTATCATTAAGTTAAGAATTTATTGGGGCTAGGGAGATGGCTCAGTAGGATAAGCGCTTGACTGGCAAACGCAAGGATCTGAGTTCAATCCCCAGTTCTGAAAAAAAAAAAAAAAAAGAATTTATTAAAAAAATTTTTGGGCTGGTGAGATGGCTCAGTGGTCTAAAGCTCCTCCTTAGAACAAGCTTAGCAAAACACAGGGACCGCGGTTCAATCCCCCAGCACCACACACCAGCCAGCCCCGCCCCCAGGTGGGCTGAGCTGACCACACTCACGCACACACACACAAATAATAAAATAAATAAATTTTTTTAAGAAAGTTTTAATTAGGTGTGGTGGCATAAGCCTGTAATCCCAGCACCCAGGAAGCTAGTGTAGGAGAATCACTGCCAGTTCCAGACCAGCTTGGGCTACATAGTGAGTTGAAGACCAGCCTGGACTACAAAGTGAGACCCTGTCTCAAAAAACAAAAACAAAAAAAGACTTTAATTGGGAAGAATGTAAAAAAGACTCCAGCTTGAGTAGCTGGAGAGGGCAGATGCTAATGAAGAGGACCAGTTTGGCCCTTCTATTCTTATTTAAACTGAAAGGAACCATGATTCATTCTTTAGCCATCTTCTGGAGGATAAGGCCTCTTTACAGGTGAGAACATAGAGGCCCAGTGAGGTATGGACTTGCTCAGGTTCCCCAGCACTCAGAATAGGCTTGTGAGATGGAGACCTGTTCCTGTGCATGGATCTAGATTCTCTCTGACCTATGTGGCTACGTTTGAAAATGACTTGTGTTGAAGCACCAGTGACCCAGCAGGCTTTCTCTCTGCAGGTGCCAGTGTTGAGGTAAACAGAGCTTCTGAGGAAGTAGGACGTCTGGACGCACCTGGGCAGGGGCATCTCTGCCAGAATGGATCCACTCCACAGTTCCCAGACTCGCCATTATCTCTTGATCCCGCCATAAGCCCAGTGGGTCCTGATGCCTCTCCAGGTGTGGCTGGTTTCCATGACAACCTAAGGAAGTCCCAGGGAACTAGTACTGAGGGCAGTGTTAGAAAAGAAGCTTTGCAGTCTCTCAGACTCAGTCTTCCCATGCAAGAAACGCAACTGTGTAAGCATCCTTCCCACCGACTCTTCCCAATATCCTGTCCCTGTCCTCTGCCCACCCCCCAGAGTGGCCCTCAGGACCTCCCCCTGTGCTATGTTATCACTGAGGGGGGAGGGTGCGTCTGACAAAGCAGCTTCGTTTGAAGAGTGAACATGCATGTGGGGGTTGGTCCTCCACCGTGGTCTGGTACTATCGGTATGATAGCCTATAATCTCACTGTGGCACTGCCACAATCTCTTGTAAAGGGCCAATAAGCAGACAGGGTTGATGCTGAGATGTGTCTTCTTGCAATTAAAGATACCCTTTTATACTTAGTATTTATGTTTATGCTGATGTCTGAGGGTGCAAAGATGAACAAACCCCACATTTATAGCCTGTGAGCCCTGAAAACTCCCAGACCTTTTTCTGAATCTTGGGTGTGGATTGGCTTAGTTAGTCTGTTTCACGCTGGGTATTGAACCCAGAGATCACTGAGCTACATGCCCATCTCTCGGCAGGTGGTGGGGTAGACAGATAAGTACTGAGGGTTGAACCCAGGGCCCTCACACTGAGCTGTATCCCTGTCCTTTTTTATATATTTTTTTGAGATAGTCTTGCTAAATTGCTTAGCTCCTCAGGCTGATCTCAAATTTACAATCCTCCTGGCTCAGCTTCCCAGACTGCTGAGATTATAGGTATGTGAGATTATAGGCTTCCACACCTAGCCCTGAGCCTCGTTTTTAATAGGATGGTTATACCTAAGGAAATTACATTCTCTTGTCTACCTTTGAAACCTCAGACCTGCACTCCTGTGAGCCAAGTTAACATAAGATCTTTGCAGCCTTCTGTAAGCATATACAGGGAAAAAAAAACACGTGCAAGGTTTTGGTCAATGTTTTGGTAAAGAAGTGTGTTGTTCCTGCAATTGCATATTTCCCACTGGGCTGAACTGCATTTAGGTGGTTCCCTGATGCCTGGTATAGTTTAGTCCCTGTGGGCCACTATGGCAGTGCCAGCCCTTGGCAGTGGCTGCTATCTACTGAGCTTCTGGTCCATAGTCAGAAACTGGGTGTGTGGGTCCTAGGGCCTTCTTTTCTATGGACCTTCAACATGCTTTGTGTAGTCCATATGGTCGTGTTGCTGTGCTACAGTGAGGACCTATGAGGACACTTTGTCCACATCCTTCCAGTGTAGAAACATTATTTCTTTGGGTTTTATTTACTTTTGTTGTTGTTGTTGTTGTTGTTTGCAGTACTGGGCATTAAACTCAGGGCCCTGCTCTTGCCAGGCAGGCACTTATTCTATTGAGCTATCTCCCCAGCCCTTGTTTACTTTTGAGACAAAATATTACTGTGTTGCCCAGGCTGGCCTCAAAACCATCCTTCAGCCTCCTAGGTAGTTGGGACTATAGGTGTGTACCACCATATATGTTGAGGCTGTGGCCACATAGCAGCAGCTCCACACACAGGCTCCCCATTCTGATGGCTGCTCCTTCTGAGGAGTGAGGGACATCAAACATTTGGCTCCTGCTGCCACCTGACCCTGAGCTCTGTCCTTGAAGCTGGTTGTTTTTTTAATTTTTATTTTATTTTTTTTGGCGGAACCGGGGATTGAACTCAGGCCCTTGTGCTTGCCATGGAAGTGCTTATTCTACTGAGCCATCTCCCTGGCCCCCCAGCTGTGTATAGACTTAATTCTTTATGTTTTATTTCTTTTTCTTTTTTTTTGTTTTGGCGGAACCAGGGATTAAACTCAGGCCCTTGCACTTGCCAGGGAAGCACTTATTCCACTGAGCCTTCTCCCCGGCCCCAAAGCTGGTTGTTGACCTTCAGTGTAAGTCACTTCAAGCCCAGCCCACTTTGCTGATTTGTGGCCCCTGCTTGATGGATGTGGCCTCTGAATTTGCCACTTTGATGCTGATGGCTTAGCCATCTGCACACAGCCATGTGAAAGATACTGAGATCTCTTATAGATTAGTAACAACAGTGGCAGAGTCCTAGTGAACTTGGTAACTGCAGAGGTTTTAATGACTGCTTAAAACAGTAGCACTTGTTTCCTTGGAATCCATGTCCAAGAAGGTGCCATGTATATAAAATTATTGCATTTCTGCCCTTTGGTTAACATCTAGGAGAATTGCTGCTGTTCACAAGGAGTAAGCTCAAAAATCCAACCCTGGAAAAGTCTAGCCTCCTGGTTTTGCTGCTACAGTTCCATTGTCATCACTGTTCAACTCTCAGATCTTAAGATCAGGTCTGAAGTATTTTTCTCACAAGTTCCCTCCCTTCTCCTCTTCCTCCTCTTTTTTTTCTTTTTTTTGTGGTGCTGAGGATCAGACCCATGGTATCACATACAGATAGGCAAGCATTCTGCCACTGAACTGCACACCCAGCCCATTGGTTTTAAATATTTTATTTTTAAAAATTTCTTGTATTTCAGTAAGGGTCTATAGGGTCTACAGGGTCTCACTATATAGATCGGACTCGTAGTGATTCTCCTGTGTTCAGCCTCTCAAAGAGCTGGGATTACAGATGCACACCACCACGTCCAGTCTCAATCAAACGCCCCAAGGGCAGGGCCAGCACAGCCCTGCACACCAAGGATCGAACTCCAACCACCATATCTGCCTAAGCAGGCGCTTTAATTCGCTGAGCTATTTGGCTAGCCCCTGGTTTTAAATATTTTAAATTCTTTTTTTAGCTAAAACATTGTCATTTCACTGTCCTATCCTTGAGCAGGACATCTGGATTGTCCCTCACAGGCAGATGCCTGCTGGGTCTCTGCTCTGCATGAGTTCTGAATGCAGACTGGACAGTGGTTTCATTCCTTACCTAAATAATGTCTGAGCACTGCTATTTTGTTTGAGAACCTGATTTTATAAAACATAATAACGTGGCTCATCACTACAGGAAGTGAAAGGTAAGTTGTAGATCAAATTGTGTCTTCACATGATTTGCGTAAGACATCTGCGTTGTCACCACTGATGGCGACCACTATGTCACTGAGTGCAGCCAGCCTGTGTTTACCCTGGACTTCTCTCAGGGAGTGTGGCCTCTGTGGCAGAGCAGAGTTATGTCTGTGAGAGCTGGAAGAGCCTTCTGAGTTTGAGCTGCAGTGCCTGTAATCACTAAGCACACAGCCCTCATCTCAACTTTAAATTCAGTTCTTTTCAGTTGCTAAAAGGTACTTGCTTCCCGCCTCCCATTTTACAAGCTGAAATCCTGTCACACTTAGAGTATTTGCTAAGTTAACAGAGGCCCAGCACTTAGGGCCGTGTCTCCTTCAAGGTAGGTCCTTCCTAGTTTGTGGCCCGGGCCCACGGTTTTCTCCCAATCTGGAAATCACCCAGTCACTAGGTGATTGTGCATTGTTTAGGAGGAAATGTATACTGGTAATTAAAGGAAAAGAACTGAGCAGTAGGAACAGTGCTAATTTGTTCTGTGCACCCTGCTCCTTTACGAGCCTCTTGGTGCCATTTCCCTCTGCAGGCTCCACAGCATCTTCACTATCCCTGGAGAAAGAGGAACAGGTCCGAATCCAGGCCCGGAAGCGCCTGGAAGAGCAGCTTCAGCAGTACCGTGTGAAGCGCCAGCAAGAGCGGGTGAGTCTGCCTCCTGAGCCAGGAGAAAGTGCTGCTGGTAGAGCATTGCTGTTCTAGGGAGGAGCAGGCCCCAGGCTGAGTGGACTGAGCCACATGGTTAGCCAGGGGTGAGCTTGGGGACCTCTCTAGGTGGCCTACCAGCAATAGCCACAGTGAGTGAGGGCAAAGACCAAGTGATACTAAGCACAAGGCATTGTGTTAAATTCTCTGCAGACTAAGCAGTACAGATAACACAATCATCAGGTAAAAGAACTGACATTTGGAAAGAGAAAACTGAAACTCAGGAGTTTTCAGTTGGCAGTAATGATGTGCTGGCTGCACCACAATTCCTTCATCCACCTGGATGCTCCTCTATTTGTTGATGAATGTGTCAGTAGTTCTGAGTAAAATCCCAAATCTTGAAAATCCATATATTTAGTAGTAAATACTAAAAAATTGCATCTAATAGTTTAAATAAAAGAGCACTTCCTAAGTTCCTGATAAGACATTTCTGTGTGACGAGCTCATTACATGCTTCTCAGCCATCCCACACCCAAGGACTAGGGCAGAAAGGTTGGAAGACGCTAGACATTTCCACCAACAGTTGTCCCTGCCCTAGAGGCCCTGTGGGATGGTCATAGGCAGCATTGAGCAGCCCAGAAGGTGGCATCTGTCTCAAAGGTCATTCTCTCAGGTAGCGACCTCCATCCTCCATCTCTGCCATGCTGAAGCTCAGGGAAAAATGGCCTCGATCAGCAGTCCCTGGGCCCATGTGTAAGATGCAGGGCCATTTTCTGTGTGCATATGTGTCTTGGCTGTGTTGTTGTGTGTATCCCAGGAAACAATCTCTTTTTGGTGTATATTGAAAATGTTTTCCCCTGGCACGATAATCTTTGTCCATGTGTGGATGGTTCAGTCTCCCTTTCACCTATTTCCACACTTCCTGTTGTTTTCCAGCTGTTCTTGCTCATTTCTACAATCAGCTGTGTCCTAAGTCATTTGTGTAATTTGTTAACTTCTCCTGTGTGCCTCAGCCCAAGGATTACATTGATTTTGTAGAATAACAGGATTGAGTATTTCTGCACAAGGGAAAGTTGTGCTGACATAACAAAAAAAAGGGAGTCTCTCCTGCACTTCTTTCTTTCTTTCTTTCCACCCACCAGAGATTGAGGGCTGGGGAGATGGCTCAGTGGAATAAGTGCTTCCCTGGCAAGCGCAAGGGCCTGAGTTCAATCCCCGGTTCTGAAAGGAAAAAAAAAAAAAAAAAAAAAAACACCAGAGATTGAACTTGGAACCTTGCACTTGCCAGACAGGTACTTATGCCACTGAGCTATGTCCCTGGCTCTTACACTCCTGACCTCAAACAAGACCATTTTACAAGTTGTAGCTGACACACACAAAAAAAGAAGAGACAGAAATGTTGACAAAGAAGAGTATAGTTATATTTCTAGGTGCTGATAATGTCATGAAAAACTCCAGAGATTCAATTGAAAACAATTATTAGATCTAATTTGAGTTTATGAAATTGTCAGTTTACTAGATCAAATATGAAAAAGTAAGTAGTTAACCCTGCCATGATCGATCATAAAATGAGTGGAAAAAGAACATAGTAATAACAAAAATGATAGCATATCTGAAAATTACAATGGTGATTTAGTGCTAGGGCAATAGCTCCATGGCATAAGCACCTACCTGGCAAGTGCAAGGTTCTGAGTTCAATTCCTGGTACCAAAAAATAAAGTCAAATGGTGATTTTTAAAAGGGCTTAGAGGAGGGGCTGGTGAGATGGCTCAGTGGTCTAAAGCACCTACTTAGAACAAGCTTAGCAAAGCACAGGGACCGCGGTTCAATCCCCCAGCACCACATGCCAGCCAGCCCCGCCCCCTTTTGGGCTGAGCTGGCCACACACCCACACACAAATAAATAAATAAAATTAAAAAAAAGGGGGGGGGCTTAGAGGGGAAGCCGAGGAGATGGCTCAGTAGAATAAGCACATGCCTGGCAAGCATAAGGGCCTGAGTTCAATCCCCGGTTCCACAAAAAAATTTTAAAAAATGAATAAAAGGGCTTAGAGGGCTGAGGAGATAGCTCAGTGGTCTAGGTATCTGCCTGACAAGCACAAGGACCTGGGTTTGATTCCCGGTACCGCATTCTGTGTGGCCGTGCTGGCCAATGAAACTAGGCGTGGTGGCACATGCCCATAATTCCAGCAGGGGAGGCTGAGACAGGAGGATCACTGCAAGTGTGAGCTCTGTAGCAAGATCCTGTACCAAATAAATACATAAATAAAAGATTTTTTAAAAATAAAATAAAAAAGGGGCTGGGGAGATGGCTCAGTGGAATAAGTGCTTCCCTGGCAAGCTCAAGGACCTGAGTTCAATCCCCAGTTCCACCAAAACAAATAAAAAATAAAAATAAAAATAAATAAAATAAAAATAAAAGGCCTTAGACTCTAGATAAGGAAATACCTTAATTCCTGAGTGAATGTAGGTTAGAAGTAGTTATAAGTCATTTTTTTTTTTTTTTTAATTGAAAAAACGTACCTAGAAGAGGAAACAGATGAGCCCGGGGAGCTCTGTGAAGGGAGTGTCGTAGGAAGGGACTAGCTCTGAGATCTGTGTTACAGTGTGTTAAAGCCACTTCTTAGAGGTGTATTTCAGGCCGTGGTGGCCGCAAGGCCCTGGTGGAGCACTGGAAGGTGTTCGTCACTCTAAGGGATGTTAGTTGGAGTAGGCTCTCTGGGTGACAATTTTGGAATGCTGCTTGCAAATTTTAACATATTTCTGTATTTTTGTTTCCTTCTCAGTCCAGCCAACCTTCAACAAAAATGAGACTCTTTAGCACTCTTGATCCTGAGCTCATGTTGCACCCAGAAAACTTGCCAAGGGCTAGTACCGTAGCTATGACAAAAGAATACTCCTTCCTACGCACCAGCGTCCCTCGGGGGCCCAAGGTGGGCAGCTTAGGGCTGCTGACACATGCCAAGGATAAAAAGAGTTCCAAATCAAGCAAAATCCGGTCTCTGGCTGATTATAGAACTGAAGATGGAAGTGGTTCCAGTGGCCTTGCTCCTGCTGCCAACTCTGTTGGGAGCTCCCTGAAGCAGAGCAGGGGCAGCACCTCAATAGTGTCTGAGGTCAGCCCATCTCCTGAGACTGATGGCCGTCTTGAGAATGCCTCACTGACTGGGGACAGTGTGTCGGAGGCCGATGGAAATGAGAGTGACAGCTCCTCACATAGCAGCCTCTCCACCCGCGGGACCTGCCTGGGGAACATAGTGGTCATGCAGGGACCTGCCTACTTGGTCAATGGCCAGGAGATTGCCACGGAGGCTCTGGGCCAGTTCCCTTCTATTAAGGATGTCCTCCAGGCTGCGGCAGCCGAGCACCAAGACCAGGGTCAGGAGGTCAACGGGGAGGTGCGAAGCCGCAGAGACAGTATCTGCAGCAGGTGGGCAGTGGCTCAGCCTCCTGCTCTGCACTCAAACTACTGCCAGGCACAGCATTTCTTTTTAGCACCACCTACAGCATTCACACAAGCATTTCACGTAGAGCTTTTTGCTTTGAAAGTAGAATCAAATCTAATCAACTGCTTGGGATAGTGACACATCCTATCTTCCAGTGTTTGTAGTCCTGTCTCTGCATCTGCACAAGTGGTCATGGGTCTGTACTTCCAGAGCCTGCTCTGGTGGCAACTGTTGGAAGGGCCTTCTGTAGGAGGCCACCCCCGTCTGGTCTCAGCTCATTACTGAAGTCTCTAATTATTTTTTAAAATATGAGGGAGAACAGAAGGGTTTGTGTAGTTTTGGATACAGAGGGAAGTATAAGAAGAAGGGTGCTTGACATGATCCCATCACCTGACCTTGTGCCTTTGTCCTCAGTGTGTCCATGGAGAGCTCCCTTGCTGAAGCACAGGATGAAATGTTGCAGGTTCTTAAAGAAAAAATGAGGCTTGAAGGACAGCTGGAGGCTTTATCACTAGAGGCCAGTCAGGTAAGTGATATAGGAGTCTTTGATGTGTCCAGTCTGAGAAGAATGTGTGGTTTTTCATTGGATACAGTTTTGTGTGTGTGAGCTGGATCTGGCCACACCTCCTGTGACTCACATTAGTCTCCCTGTGTTGGCAGTGTTGTTAATACACTGGATGAAAGTGACTTGTTTTTCTGAAAGTGGTGTGATGGCTTGGTTCTTCCAGGCACTTCAGGAAAAGGCAGAGCTGCAAGCCCAGCTGGCCGCCTTGCGCACCAGGTTACAGGCCCAGGTGGAGCGTAGCCATAGCAGTCAGCAGAAGCAAGACTCCCTCAGCTCTGAGGTGGACACTCTGAAGCAGTCCTGCTGGGACCTGGAGCGGGCCATGACTGACCTGCAGAACATGCTGGAAGCCAAGAATGCCAGCCTAGCTTCCTCAAACAATGACCTACAGATGGCAGAGGAACAGTATCAGAGATTGATGGCCAAAGTTGAGGACATGCAGAGAAGCATCCTCAGCAAGGACAACACAGGTGAGGCTGGGCTGGAGCTGCTGCTGCTACACCTGATACCTGGCCCACCAGTATACACTCAGGTGGCATTAGCTCATCACTGACATGAGATGTCCTCTTGCTAAAATGAATTCATCTTTGGTTGAATTCATGTGATTCTGTATTTTTTTTTTTTAAATGAACATCCAGGGGAATGAGGTAGGTCTCAGAAACTGGCTTTAGACCCTTGACCATCAGGAGTAATCATTTCCACTCATTCCGCTTCAAAACTCCAGCATTTTGGGACAAGCAGAATGCCTGCATATTCCAAACTTATTCTTGTTTATTTCACATTCTGTTTAAAATATTTACAAATAACACCAAGAGCTGGCTGTTTTGGCACATGTCTGTAATGCCAGGATTTGGGCAGCTGTGGCAGAAGAATCATGAGTTGAAGCCAGCCTGAACTACATAGTGAATTCAAGGCAGGCCTGAACTATATAGCAAGATCCTATCTCCAAAAAGCAACCCCCACCAAAACAACACCTAGGTTCTGGTATAGTGAGCTCCTCCCAGCATTAAGCTCAGTGGTTTGGTCAGGCTGGCTCCTGATAACCCAGAGAAAACAGAATCATGTCAGCTGGTCATGTGCAGAGAGCCCTTGTGCTCGTTTCTACCTGAGCTAATCCCACAATCTCAGGTGTCCCTCAGAGCAGGAAGACTGTGTTCTCTGCTGAGTGTGTTTTAGTAGAGGGGTGGGGGGAAGAGTGAAGGGGGAGAGTAGAGAACAGAGCCTGAGGGGATAGACAGTTCTATCCAGAGCTGTGCAAAGACTGAGTGTAGGGCTATGGGCACGGCTGTGAGGCTGATCGCCCAGAGGACCGTGAGCTACTGTATCAGAGGCTGAGTTCTAACAGCAGAGAAGAGAAAGAGTCTGCTGAGCAGCAAAATACAGTTTTGATAGCTGTTAATTTTTCATACATACATAGTCCAAGGCCAGCCTTAACTACATAGCAAGACCCTGTCTCAGAAAGGAAGGAAAGAAGGAAGATGCAAGAAAGAAAGAAAGCTTCACAGTGAGGAGTGATGTCCCACATATGTAATCCATCACTCAGAAGAATGAGACAAGAGAATCTCTGTGGGCTGGAGATAAAGTTCAGTGGCATAGTGCCTCCCTGGCAAGTGCACGGTCCTGAGTTTAATTCTCAGTACTAAGCAAATAATAATGATGAAGAGGAGGTTCTCTAAGAGTTCAAGGCCAACCTAGGACACATGGCAAGATTCTCTCTCAAACTCAATAAAATAAAGTTTTGAAAAATATCTTCAGAATAATAAATACATTTTTAAGTTTGGGGTATGATTTAAGTGTAAAAATGTAGTCTCTTCAGAGCCACACTTATGGATTTGTTCCTTTGCAATGTGTTTTTGCTGCTTGAATGGCCCAAACCACTGGTGTGCTCAGTGTAAGGTTGCTGTGAACTATTTGTGGAGAAAACATGTTGGTTAGAACTTTGCTCAGCCACTGCAGCTGACTTTGAGTTACTGGCTGTATAAACTTGATGTTAAGGGGTGAGAACAGATATTAAATGAGCTGTCTTTAAACAGCCGTATGTATCCCACTTCTTACCCACCTTATGAGTTCCCATTTTTCTTACCTTGGACTGCCTCAAGTCATAGATTTGCTCTATAAAAATCCCTAGAAGAGGCAGGGTTCATGGCAACCCACTCACACCCTTTCTATCTTTCTCTCTTGGACAGAAGCTTTCTTTGCCCCAGTGAATACATTCTGCTCTTTAAAAAAAAAAAAAAAAAAAAGTCAGAAGTTACACATGGGTTGATGAACATGTGACTGAAGGCTTGCCAAACCCAACCCTGTTCTCCCAGGAGAAGTGGTCTGTATACACCATGCCGCGGTGCCTTTGTAGAACAGTGACTGAGATAGCTAGCTCGACTGTCCCTGCTGTCTGCCTGATAACTCTTCATCAGGTGCCCCGCAGAGCTGTGCACTCTAGTGGTGCTGGTGGCCTGAGCTGGTTATGCTTGCTCCCTTTCAGTGCATGACCTCCGACAGCAGATGGCGGCCCTGCAGAGCCAGCTCCAGCAAGTGCAGCTGGAGCGCACAACGCTGACCAGCAAGCTGCAGGCGTCACAGGCTGAGATCGCCTCTCTGCAGCATGCCCGGCAGTGGTACCAGCAGCAGCTGGCCCTGGCCCAGGAGGCACGGGTCAGGCTGCAGGGTGAGGTGGCCCACATCCAGGTATGGCCCGTGGCTTCCTTCAGTAAGGCAGGCATGTGCTTGTGCCTGGGAACCATGCTTTCATCTAAATTAAAGGAGCATCTTCATGAAAATCTGCTAACTGCAAGTGTGGTCAGCATCCCTCCAGGTCTTCCCTCTGTCACTTTTATAAGAGTTATTCTCTGACCATGCCGGCTGGGTCTCAGGAGTCCCCCACCTGGCCTCTCGACCTTTCCATCCTACATTCAGCACTCAGAGTGGCAGCCTTCCCTTCATAGCTAGGACTGCACCTTGCTGTGGCTACTTAAACCCAGAAGTATACAGACACTAAGTGATTCTTTTTTTGTATAAAGGGTTCAACTTTGGTCCTGAATAGTAGGTTCTTTTTTATTTTACTTTATTTATGTTTTTGAGACAGGATTTTGCTACACATTTTAGCTTGGTCTTGAACTTATTTTGTAGCCCAGGCTGGCCTCGAACTTATAGTGATCCTCCTGCCTCAGCCTCCTCAGTGCTGGAGTTATAGACATTTGCCATCATGCCCAGCTAAGTCATTCTTTTTTGAGGGGCAGGTACTAACAATCAAACTCAGGACCTTGTACTTGCCAGACAGGCACTATGCTGAATAGCTATATCCCCAGCCACTACGTCATTATTATGTGAACTCTTGTTCCAGTTCCCATAGAGGACTTTTCTTTTGTTACTGGTTGCATGCCATGACAGCTTTTGACTCTGCGTATGTGGGAACATGTGTCATTCTGGATGGAGTAGCACTGGTGTGTGCTTGTCAGCATGAGGCTTGTAGCCTCAGGCAGTGTGCTTTGAAGATGAGAGGGAGGAACAGGAACCTGCTGTAATGCTTTGCCCTAAAGCTCAGTGCCTGGAAGAGTACTTTTGGACAGCCTCTGAAAGTTTAACTGTGGGCTTTTTTTTTTTTTAATCCCAGATAAAATATTATAGATTTATTGAAACTTCATTTTTCAGGCCGGCCAAATAGCTCAGAGGATTAAAGTGCCTGCTTAGGCAGACGCAGAGGCTGGGGTTTGATCCCTGGCCTACCACTGGCCCTGCCCTTGGGGCACGCTGAGAAAGCAGTTAAGACTGGGCCTGGTGGCACACGCCTGTAATCCCAGCTATTTCGGAGGCTGAACACAGGTGGATCACTATGAGTCCGATCTATGTAGTGAGACCCTCTAGACCCTTACTAAAATACAGAAAAAAAAAAATTATTTTTCAATTAGAACACATAAAATACCAGCTCCACCAAATGTTCCACTTTCTTTTTTTATCTAGAGTTTACCAATATGTAAAACAGAAGTTTTCTTAAATTTATATTATACTTTTTAAGCCAAAGGACCATGTAGCAAAGTATTATACTCATGTGTACTCGGACATCAGTCATCATACAAATTAATGTACCACAAAGCTTCAGTACATTTAGAGTAAGCAAGATTTTGTTCAAATAAGTCAGAAATGTTATTTAGGAGACAAAAGTAGAGGAGGCACTGAAGGAGGTTGCAATTTGAGAACCTTCCTGCTTGCTTTTGGTGAATTAGAATTAGGGTTTTAGAATAAAGGTGGTTTAGAATTAGGGTTTTCTGGGGGCTGGTGAGATGGCTCAGTGGTCTAAAGCACCTACTTAGAACAAGCTTAGCAAAGCACAGGGACCGCAGTTCAATTCCCCAGAACCACATGCCAGCCAACCCCGCCCCCTGGTGGGCTGAGCTGGCCACACACACACACACACACACACACACACACATAGAATTAGGGTTTTCTTGCCGCTTTGTCCCTGAAGCCATCCCTTGGTTCCCTGTAGCCATCCACAGAGTGAAACACATGAACAGCCTGTAGTCCTTCCCTTCCTTGCTCCAGCAGTTTCTTTGGAGCCCATCCCTCCTCATCACACCTTGTACACTTAATCCTGACACCCACTAGGACTAGAGTTAAGGTAGGAACAGTCTAACCCTGCTGCACCTCACCTCTTTGGGCCCTAGACCCGGGCTGCTTTTCAGGACGATAAGGCAGACTGGAACTGTGGACCCTGGGTATGTGTGGCTACATTCCTTGGTTGGAACAGCTTCACACCCGGGGCTCAGAGGTCCATGGTTGATGGGAGCATGTAGTGTTTGGGGGGCTCTAGCCCAGACTGCAGTCTTGGGGTGAGAACTGACTTCTGGGTGGTTGCCTTGCCTCTTAGGCATGCAGAATCTTTATGGCCCCAGACTGGAGATGGGGCAGCCTGTATGGGTGAGTCCTGCAGTGGTGACAGTCCCAGATGCAGGGGCCAAGAGGGGAAGCTGGTCAGTGTTGATGGGCAGAGAGTCTTACCTTGGTGGCCTGAAACAGGCTGTTTTGCACTTGGTGTCTGAAGTTGAACAGCTTTCTGCCCTCATGTCTGTCTTTGAAGGTTGGACAGATGACCCAGGCTGGCCTTCTGGAGCACCTGAAGCTTGAGAATGTATCCCTATCCCAGCAGCTGACAGAGACACAGCACAGATCCATCAAGGAGAAGGAGCGCATAGCTGTGCAGCTCCAGAGCATCGAGGTGAGAACTGTGGCTGTGGGGGTTTTGGTTTCTGTTTGGCTTTGGTCTCACTGGCAAGTGAGAAAACATATTATCCTTAGTCATAAGCATAAAACATGGGAGCAAGCATAAATGTCTTGTGTGTGTATATGTGTAAGCATGTACATTTCTAAAAGCTGCTTAGGGTCTAAGGACCCCACCCTGTGTTGGAGGTGCGTGCTGGTGGCACTTTCGGCCCCAGGATGCAGAGTGGGTGTGGATGGTCTTTTGTGTCTTGTGTGCTGGGCGATGTGGTGTGTCTTGGTGTGGGCATGTGTGGTTATTTCAAGCACTTCACCTGCATTGCTGGTTAGTCTTCCTATACCGCATGAGCTCTTTGTTACTGCTGCTGTCTGCACGGTCATCTCCATGTAACAGGAAATGCAGTGGCTTTGACCTGAACCTGAAGCCTGCTTGCTTTCTTTATTCAAAAAAAATTTTTGTTTAGTACAGGGAATCAAATTCAAGACCTTGCACTGGCTGCTGAGCTGTGTCATCAGCCCCTGCTTGCTTTTTTTGTACCTGTGAGAACCTGGGTGATTTCTTAGTCATTCTTTTTTTTTTTTTTTTTTGGCGGAACTGGGGATTGAACTCAGGCCCTTGCACTTGCCAGGGAAGCGCTTATTCCACTGAGCCATCTCCCTGGCCCCTTCTTAGTCATTCTGAGCCTAGGTTTCTCTTTTATAAAACAGACAGGAAAACTTATTTAATGTCCTTGTTAGAAAATGTAAAGAAGAAACTAACACTTTTACTTTCTGCTAAGAAGAGTGTTATTCCTGACCGTAGGAAGTCACCCAGGAAGCTTGCTTTTCCTCAGACTTGGCCAGTTTCTCATCTTGCTACTACTCTGCAATTGCTCCTTTTTCCATGAGGAATCACACAGCCAAGGGCTCAGTGTGAAAGGACAGAAAACATTTTGAGGTTTTTTGTTTTTTGTTTTATTTTGTGTGTGTGTGTGTGTGTGTGTGTGTGGCCAGCTCAGCCCACCAGGGGGCGGGCTGGCTGGCATGTGGTGCTGGGGGATTGAACCGTGGTCCCTGTGCTTTGCTAAGCTTGTTCTAAGTAGGTGCTTTAGACCACTGAGCCATCTCACCAGCCCACATTTTGAGTTATTAACTGGTCTTTTTTTCCCTAAGAAACATACCAAGATGCTGGGTATGTCCCATGGTCCCTGTCTCTTACTTTGTTTTATTGAGTGATACGGAGCAGCAGTCGGTCAAAGAGAAAGTTTCATGTACTCCAGGAGGTAGAACATGTTGCCTCTGTTCGTTCATGAAGAACAATACAGAAGCTCATCCATCCCTTGAACTCAGTTCTTCTTTTCCCTGAGCCTGGGTCTAGCTATTACCAAGGCTGGTCTCAACCTTGTGGACTCAGGTGATCTTCCTGTCTCAGCCTTCTAGGCTGCTGGGACTGCAGGTGCATACCACTGTGCCAGGTAGATCCCCCTTCTCAACACTGGGTGTTTGCCTGCTCCTCCCTTGGGTCAGGCTCATGCTAGCAGTCACCCTGTAGCAAGTGGGGTGCCCCCATACTTAGCATTCGTACATAGGATAGAGATATGAACCAAAAGGCTTGCAGTGCAACAGGTTTCCTTAATCCTAGGCTGCTATTGATGACCTGCTTTTTAAAAAATATTGTTTCGGGGCTGGTGAGATGTCTCAGGGGTCTAAAGCACCTACTTAGAACAAGCTTAGCAAAGCACAGGGACCACGGTTCAATCCCCCAGCACCACATGCCAGCCAGCTCTGCCCCCTGGTGGGCTGAGCTGGCCACATACACACACACACACACACACACACACACACACACAAATAAATAAATTTAAAAAAAAATAAATATTGTTTTCGGGGGGGGCCAGGGAGATGGCTCATTTGAATAAGCGCTTGCCTAGCAAGCTCAAGGGCCTGAGTTCAATCCCCGGTTCCGCCAAAAATAAATAAATAAATAAATATAAATAAATAAAGGAAGGCTTACTAAATAAAAATAAAAAATATTGTTTCCTGGGCCCAGGCTGACATGTTGGATCAGGAAGCAGCCTTTGTGCAGATTCGGGAAGCAAAGACAATGGTGGAGGAAGATCTCCAGAGGAGGCTGGAAGAGTTTGAGGGTGAACGAGAACAGCTACAGAAGGTGGCTGACTCAGCAGTGGCCTTGGAGCAGCAGCTGGAACAGGCAAGTAGCTGCCACAGCCCTTCAACCAGGCACACAGAGGCCCAGTAGAGGATGATCATGACATCCAGGGTGCACACCATCCCAATATGCACAGCCACGGCTACCTGCCACCAGCCTGTGTAGCAGCCTCTCCTGTCAGGCCACATCAGCAGTATGAGTTGTGCTGGGTTGTCTGCTGAAGATGCATAAAAGGTCACCATCAGACCAGAGAGGCCAGGTTTCCCTCTGTTCATGCCTTGGATGCAAAATTTTGCTCTTTTGTTTGCTTATTTTTTGAGAACGGGTCTCCTAATCTAGTTTAGGCTGAAACTTGAATTCACTGTATAGCCCAGGCTAGCCTAAAACTCATGGCAGTCCTTCTACCTCAGCCTCCTAGAGTTGGGATTACAAGTATGCAGCACCATGCCTATCCAGAATTTTGTTTTAAAAAGATCCTTCAAAGAGTCCATCACACACACACACACACACACACACACACACACACACACAAAAAGAGTCCATCACAGTTATTTAGATCTTGAACAGGGAAAAACGGGTGCATTGTCAACTTAGGGGCAAAGGCAGCAGGATAAGCTTACCCCTGTTTGCAGGTGAAACTGACTCTACAGCAGCGAGACCAGCAGCTTGTGGCACTGCAGCAGGAGCACCTGGGCCTTGTAAAACAACTCACTGCAGCACAGGAGACCCTGCAAGCCCGGGAACAGTCCCTCAATGAGCTACATACCCGCCACGATGAGCTACAGGCACAGCTGGAGGAGCTGCAGGGGGAGGCTGCCACCAGGGAGGACACAGTCCGCTTCCTGCAGAATGAAAAGATTGTCTTAGAGGTGGCTCTTCAGGCAGCCAGGAGTGGTGAGGAGGAGCTTGACCGAGGAACAAGGCACTTGGAAGAAAGCACCAAGGAAACGTCAGGACTTTTAGAGCAGCTGAGACAAGAGCTGGCCATCAAGTCCAGCCAGGTAACCAGCCACTGTGTCATGATCACCCTCCTGTGGATGCATTCTTTTGTAAACATAGGTGACAATGGGAGAATTCTGTAGAGCATGGATCCCAGTAGCTCATGCTCTGCCCCAACCCCAGCTAGGCTTCTGGATGAGAAGAAACCAGAACTGGGAACCTGAGTTTGGTTTGGAGCTTTTAAAAGTCATCTGCCAGGAAATAACCAGCTTTTGTCAGCTTAGGATGTAGACCTGAGCCTAGGGAGAAGCTATAAGAAATTTGGTTTCCTGGCCTGAGATAAGGTACAGGGAGGGGCAGACATGCCTGCCAGTACTGTGGTCTCAGTACTGGCAGGCATGTCCCAGTACTGAGACCACCGCCAGGCAGGACATACCTGGCAGGAGCCAGTAGACTAACAGTGCAACACAGCTGGTGTAGACAAGTGTGTTTAAAAAGTCTAGACAAGGGGCCGGGGAGATAGCTCAGTTGAATAATCACTTGCCTGGCAAGCTCAAGGGCCTGAGTTCAATCCCCGGCTCCGCCAAAAAAAAAAAGTCTAGACAGAGCAAAGAAGGATATATAAGAAGTAGAATTAGCATCAGGCAGTGGCTCAGTCTTTACGTCTCACTCCACAGAGTCAAGTGTAAGAGGGACTCTGATCCATTTCCCATGGAGTGTCCATTTAGAAGGGTCATCAGGGTTCTCTGCTGACTGGTAGCTGCACAAGACAGTATTGGTGGTATCAGGATTTTATCTGCATTGTTACTGACAAAGCTGCTTCTAGGTTCCCTTGGGTCATGATGATTTTCCTAAAGAGATAGAAGGTAGAAGGGTGATGTTACTGTCATCTTTGGCCACTTTCTTCCCAATTCTGAAGTATCTTCTGACCTAAGAATCAGAAGCAACCTAGTGAGGAAATAAAGCTGTGCCCCAACCACTAGCCTGCCCGGGCATCAGTCCCCATGGCTGTCACTGGCATGTATGCTTGTCCTTGGGCATCACTGAGACTATCCTGTCCACATGGTTCCCCTTGGCCTGGGTCCATTTCTTCTACCCTTTCTATGGAACTGCACAGAGTCAGGGCCTGTGACAGGATGCCTTGAAGCGGGTAAGTGAAGTCTCTAGAACAACTTCGGTCTTCCTTGTATGGTTCCTGGCAGAGAAGCTTAGAACCCTTTTAAGGAAAAAGGGTTTGCTCCTCACTGTGCCTGAATGATTCCAAGGGCTCATGTGGATCATGTTCTGGTCTTAAAGGAGGAATCAGACAAACAGGGGGCCTGCCCATTAGCTCAGTTCTTTTAAGTGGTTGCTTCAACAAAGCATTCAGGCTCAGGTTGCTGTGGTTCAATCTCAACTCAAGCCAGCCAAACCTGCCCTGAGGTCATTCCACGCCAAAAAAAAAAAAAAAAATCCTTCTACCATTTTTGGGGCCAGGGAGATGGCTCAGTGAAATAAGCGCTTCCCTGGCAAGCGCAAGGGCCTGAGTTCAATCCCCGGTTCCGCAAAAAAAAAAAAAAAAAAAAAAACAGAAACAAGCTGTTCCCCAACTGAGACAGATGTGTCCATGCCAGATGGGCACACTAACCCTGCATCCCCAGGACAGTGACCGAGATGCACATACTGACCCCGTATCCTCAGGACATGACCTATATACGTGTGCTGACCCCTGAATCTCTAATACAGTGACTCAAGTGGAATATTGACCCCTGCACCCCTCCAGTAGTGACCCAGCTGGGTGTGCTGATCCCTGCACCCCCAAGACAGTTAACAAGATGGGCATGATGACTGCTGTAGTCTTAGGGTGATGACCCAAAATCAGCACAGTGACCTGAATCCCAGAGCAGTGACTCACTCAGACACTCATCCCACATCTTCAGGACAGTGACCCAGGCAGGGGCACTTACGCAGACCAGTTGCTGCATGGTGAACAAGGTTTTACTGTAGTGGCTTTAGGAGGCTATCATGCATAGTGCATCTATCACTTAGCACAGACCTGCGCCTTCTTCACTGTTTGTCGTGAGGGCCTCGTGGTATCACTCGGCTTCTTCAGAAGCAAGTTCACATGGCTGGGTGCAGCTTGGTGAGGCTCTGGGAGGCTGCTGGGCCTGGGGACCGGCATGCTGAGGTTCCTGGGACTCAGCCTCATTGCTCCTGTACATGGTGTTTGTGTCTATCTTTGTGCCACAGAGGCAAACCGGAGAACTATAGCAGATGCATGGTCCAGGGAAAGAAGGAGGTTTCTTCTCAGCCGTTCCAGGGAGAGCTATTGACACCTGGTCCAGAGCCCTGCCTCTGCACCTACCCCTGTCTGGGTGCTGTTGCCTGATAAGGAAGAGGGGGTATGGGGCTGTGTCCGGTCTGCCTGGGCCCTCAGCCTGTGTGGGGTTTCTTCTTTGTGCTACCAGAGCACAGGCCTCCTCAACCCCTGAGGCCACCTGTGTGCAAACCTGTCCCATAGGTGGAGCACCTGCAGCAGGAGACGACCTCCGTGAGAAAGCAGACCCAGAAGGTGAAGGAGCAGTTCCTTCAGCAGAAGGTGGGATTTGATTTCTTTCAAGTGAAACATGTCAGGTGTGGGCCTGTCTTTTGGCTTTGGTGGAATGAAGTTGCTCGGGAGGATGGAAGGATCCGGGTCCTCTGTACTTCCCATCATGGTCTGTGAGGTCAGCGTGGCCCTCTGTGGGCCATGCGATGGGCCATGTGTCACTAGGGTGCTTTTCCCAACACCCTGTTGCTGCCACTCCAGAGAGCCACATGTATTGAATATCATACATCTTTATCACTGTGCAGGTTGTTGTCTGCCATGTGAAATATCTTTGAAAAGTGATTGCTGTGATCCAACATTACAAAGGATTATTTTCCTCCAAAGGCATGAGATACAGATTTTGTGTGCAGAGGTGGTGTTTTCTGCAGAGGTCCTTGATCCACATTCCTCACTAAGGCCTACTCAGGTGCCCCTCAAGGCTGCAAAGGGAAGCTGTGCTTTTAAGTGTTTTGGTTTGTCACTTAGCAGCCTAGAAGGGAAGACCTTTTGGAGCCATGCAGCCCACTGCCCAAGAAGGGCTACTGGGTCCCTCTGGTAGATAAGGGGCCCCCTGTTGGGCCCAGGTCATTAGGATGCTGCCTTCCTGGTACAGAGCAATGGGCTGCCCCAGTGGGAAATGTCTTAGATTGGATGAAATACATTGTGTTTAACTCAAAAGTTACGCTCTAGCTGAATGGTAAACGAGTTGTTTAAGCCAGTGTGCCTGGGTGAGGCTTCGCTGGGTGCCAACTCTAGTGAGTGTTGTATGCAGGTGATGGTGGAGGCCTACCGGCGGGATGCTTCCTCCAAAGACCAGCTCATCAGTGAGCTGAAGACCACAAAGAAGCGGCTGGACTCAGAGATGAAGGAGCTGAGGCAGGAGCTAATCAGGCTGCAGGGGGAAAAGAAGGCCGTGGAGGCAGAGCACTCACATTTGAAGAAGGAGGTGTCCATGACCCACCAGCAGATGGCTGACCTCCAGGAGCACCTCCAGTCAGCGCAGAAGCAGCAGGATGAGATGGAGACACGCCTGCAGGTCTGTGTGAAGCATGTTGGGCACGGTTTCCTCTATGCAGCGAACAGTTGGTGGCAGTGGTGCTGGTCTGGGGTGGAGCGCATATAGAACTCTGTGTGTCACCGTGAGACTCACAACGTAGAGAGGACCAAAAAGTTCAGCAAAGGAAGGGAACAGGATGCCCATCATTCAGCGGCTTGCAGTGGGGCGCAGAAGGGTCCTGGGAATCGAAGCAGGTTCACCAGGGAGGCAGATTTCCTGCTAACCTTCCCTACTGCGCCTCTCGTGCTCTAAACACAGGGATAGGAACTCCACAGACTTTAATTTGTCAAAGGCAGATATTGGTAGCAAGTGATTTTGTACTTCTCATGTGCCATTTTCCTTTGAAGTCTTTGCAGTTCAACAAAGAGCAGATGGTCACTCTTACAGAGGCCAATGAGGCGCTAAAGGAACAAATAGACGTGCTGCAGCAAGAGGCCAAAAAGTGAGTGCACACTGTGTGTCCTTGGTCACGAGTGAGGAGAACTAACCTGCCTTTGGAAAGGTCACTGGGGGCACTCAGATCTAAGTGTGAAGCTCCACTAACATTGACCTTGAAGACTTGCTTTTTTTACAAAATAGTCCTGGAGTTTCTTCCTTTTTTTTTTTTTTTTTTTTTTTTTTTTGTTAGGCAGGGTCTTGCTGTATAGTTCAGGCTAGCTTTAAGTTCATTATGTAGCCCATGCTGGCCTTGAATTTGTGGCAGTCTTCCTCCTCAGCCTCCTGAGTACTGGGATCACAGGTGCATGCCACCATGCCCAGCCTTAATTCTTTTTGATGGTTCTATGGATCTATCCTAGGGCTTTGTGCTTGTTAAGTTGTCTCTCTACCAAAAGTCATACCCACAGCCCAGACACCCCATTCCTATTTATTTTTTAAACTTTTATGCACATACTCGTGGCAACATTTCCTTACTTCTTGTTCCCTCCTGGGGCAACACAGTGGTATTCATCCTGCACCCCATTTTGTGTTCATGTAGCCCTGAACATAGGCCTTTAGAGTCACATGCATATGTGCTTGTGCATACATGTGCAGGGAGCCTTTGGGGCTTTTTTAAAAATATATTTAGTATAGGTTCTACAGTGTCTCACTACATAGATTGGACTCGTAGTGATCCTCCTGTTTCCGCCTCCCAAGGGCTGGGATTATAGGCACGTGCCACCACACCCTTTGGGACTTTTTACCCACACACTGTGTCCATTGCTTCTTGTCTCTTTTGTTGAGTGCTTTCTTCATAAACCTGGTCATGGGGTTTTCAGCTAACCTACATGAAGAACAAAGGTGAGCTGTTTGGTAGGAGCAGACTGTTACTCTGCCCTCAAGAAGTCTTTTCAGAACTGCTCCAGGTCACACCACCTGCCTGGCAAGTGCAAGGTTATAAGTTCAATTCCCAGTACCCAAAAAAACCCCAACTGCTCTAGGAGGAAGGCAGGTCTGGCAGACATGGCTGAAACTCACAAAGCACTGGCTTCTTCTCTGGCTTTCCAGAGGTACCTGCCACGGTGCTCCTTCCCCTCCCAAAGCCATGAGGACAGGCACTTACCTGCTGCCTGCCCTTATGTTCTCCTTGGCATCCAGGCTAGGGTACATGTCAGGATAGGGATAAGCCTGGGTCTGACTCCTGCCTAGCCTTTAAGGGTGAATGCAGTGTCATTCGCTGGCCCTTGGTGCTGTGCTCAGGAAGCTGGGTGATAGCATTGGAGCTCAGCTGCCTTCTCTATCTCCTTCATCATGTCCCAGGGCCATCACAGAGCAGAAGCAGAAGATGAAACAACTGGGCTCAGATCTGACCAGTGCCCAGAAGGAAATGAAGAACAAACACAAAGCTTATGAGAATGCTGTGAGCATCCTCAGCCGCCGTTTGCAGGAGGCTCTGGCTGCCAGAGAGGCTGCAGATGCAGAGCTGAGCCAGCTCAGAGCCCAGAGCACCAGCGGTGGCAGTGACCCTGTCCTACATGTAGGTAAACGCTGCCTCATCCATCAGAGCTGCAGAGACTCTGAGTGTAGGTCAAAGACTTTTTATTTTAATTTGGTACAGGGTCTTGCTATGCAGTTTAGACTCATAGTGATCCTCCTGTCTCAGCCTCCCCAGTGCTGGGATTACAGTTGTGCGCCACCAGTCCTGGTTTCAGGGCTGGCATGGCGTGCCTGGTGTTCTGGGGCCAGCATGGTGTGCAGTACCAGCTATCAAACTCAGGTCCTTATACTCACGAGGTAGGCACTTAGACTACTGAGCTATCTCCCCAACCCAGGGCAAGGACGTTTTACAAATTTTGCAAACATTTTCTCCCTCTAAACCCATCTAAAAGAATGTATGTATGTATGTATGTATGTATGTATGTATGTATGTATTTATAGTACCACTGGTATCAGTAGTGACTTGTGCATGTATCCATAGCCTTGTTGGCTCTGGGCAGTGTGCACTGGCAACCTGTTCTCACTGAGAAGTCTCCTTGATGTGGAACAACCCTGTGCAAGGTGCAAGTAGGACCTGCCCTGCACTCTGACCTGGCCATGTAGCCTAAGCCTTGGGCTGTGGACAGAGGACAGACTAAGTGAGGGTGGGCTACAGGGAACTGGGCCAGTGCGTGGCAGGAGGAGGAGGCCCTAGAGAGACAAATAGGGCATTGTAGAATGCATTGGTCTCTCAAGTACCCCAAGGAGAAACTGTGGCAGGAGTTAGGAAAAGAGCTAAGTTCAGGTGGAAGCTGTTTGCCTGACTGGCAAATGACCCAAAGAACAACAGAAGGGGCATTTATTTATACCTTTGCAACGTTAGTGTCATGTAACACAAGGTTGCCTAGTGACTAATAGCTGGCATTGACCAGGTAGGATGCTTTTTCAAGACTGAGGTAACTTGACTGCTTTCGGCAATCTGGCCTTGTCCTGCCCTCCTACATATAATCAACTTCCAGCTTTAGCCGCTCCTAACAGCATTTTAGGTGGGAGGAGCTCAGGCTTGGCCTTGCCAGTAATGAAGCTGAGACAGCCACCTGTGGAGCTGCTCCCATCCTCGGCTGTCCTGGACGTTGGCGGGGAATGGTTAGGACAGGAAGGTGAAGAGCTAGGCAGGAGGCAGCATTGATTCTGCCAGTGTCTCAGAGGTGGCAAGAGCAGGATGCAAAAGAGGCCACCAGTAGCAGTGCAAGTAGGCTGCAGCATGGATAGGTGTGGGCTTCATGGAGGAGAGGTGGCATTGAGGTCTGCATGAGTCATAGGAGGGTTGATGAGAAAGCCTCAGAAGGGCACTGGGGTGGGAACTGTGGCCAGAGTCACCCTCCTGTTTCTATCTGTTAGAATGGACGGTGCTATGTCTACGGGTGCGGGAGGCCCTGGGGTAGAGGGGCACCTGGTGCTTACAGAGGCCCCAGTGTCCCTATACCAGCCTTGCTGGCAAGAAATGGCACGTGTGTGGCCATGCAGCCTTCACGTGCAGAGCCTTACAGTCCCCACATCATTGCCAGCTTTGAATCTCACTGTCTTTTACTAGAAGGGGTTACATTCTTCCTGAGTAAGTTTGTTTGCATTACTTCGGTTATCCATCTTCATTGTGTTTATTTTTCTTTATTCTTTATGTTTTTTGCTTGTTATGGGCTTTATTTGGTTGTTCGTTTGTTTGTTTGTGACCAGGTCTTAATGGCCTTGAATTTACTTTGCTGGCCTCATACTCACTGTGATTCTCCTGCCTCAGTTCCTAAGTGCTGGCATTTTAGGCATGTGCTGCCAAGCTTGGCTTGCCCTTGTATTTCTCATGAGAAATCTTCCTGTCTCCTGTCCTCTTAAAGAGTCCATGAGTTGGAAACGACTGTCTCATAATAGTGGTGCTTCCTTCTTCAATTGAGTAAATATTCCTCCCTTAGTGACCTTACAAAATATCAGGGGTTGGGTATGATGGGGAATACCTGTAATCCTTGCTACTTGCGAGGCTGAGGCAAGAGGATCTCAACTTTGACAGCAGCCTGGAGTGTTCAGCAGGACTTTGCCTTAGAATAAAAGAAAGTAAAGAGGGGCCGGGGAGATGGCTCAGTGGAATAAGCGCTTCCCTGGCAAGCACAAGGGCCTGAGTTCAATCCCCGGTTCCATCAAAAAAAAAAAAAAAAAAAAGAAAGTAAAGAATATGGCTCTGTGGTGGAGCACTTGCTTAGCATGCACAAGGCCTTGGGTTCAATCTGTTAAGTACTGCAAAAAAAAAAAAAAAAATTGAAGGAGCACCTACTCAGTGGTCATCTTCCCTGTTTAAAATATCTGTTCTTTAATCTTTGGACCAGCTAGTAAGGCAGAGAGTCTGCAGCTGAGGATAGTCATGGGTTCAGTCTGTAGTGTTACCATGTGTTTTTGACCCTCAGTCAGAGGAAATCAGAGCAAGTTGAGACTGAAATCTTCCTCAGGAGGTAATTGAATGGTACTGGGGGAATGCTTAGGACAGGACCTACACAGTAGTGGCAGCAAGCGTGTGCTTGGTGTATGTATGTGCATATGTGCTAGCATGTGTGAACATGTATGTGTTGTGTTTCTGATACTAAGTGCAGTTTATGCACCATACTGCTAATTGGACTTTTTTCTGTATTTCTAGACCATTTACTATTTAATTAAAAGATCCATTGTCTGTGCAGAGAGTATCTGTTTGTGTCATAGTGTAAAAGTGCCATGCTTAGCAACCTCAGACCCTTTCACAAGAGGAAATAGATGAGAGCATGATCGGCACATGGTCAGGCAGCTTGCTTCAGACCTGGAGGTTCGTAAGAGGTGTGGGGCAAGGACCCATCATGGGTTGGTGACCAGACGCACTGCCCCATCTACTGTAGGAGAAGATCCGGGCCCTGGAGGTGGAGCTGCAGAGTGTAGGCCACAGCAAGTTGCTATTGGAAAAGGAGCTTCAGGAGGTGATTGCCATGACAAGCCAGGAGCTGGAGGAGTCCCGGGAGAAGGTGCTAGAGCTGGAGGATGAGGTAATGCTGCATTGTGCCTGGCACAGAGCATGTTGGCAAGGCAGACTATGCCCAGCACTCTACAGGGGGTAAAGACAGTGATAGCCATTGATATCCACTGGAATGGCCTCTGGGATTCATACTGGAAACTTCTTCCCAGGTAGAAGACTGATTTCAAACAAGAAAGCCAACTTGAACCTTTAAAAGAACTTAGAGCAAGAAGCAGTTCTAGCTTCAGTGACACATACTCCAGCTCAGTGCTTATAGCCATGGTGGCCCCTGGCTCCCTCACTGCCTTCCCAGCTCCTCCATCATGGCCACCAGGGGGCTGGTCATCCTTCTAGGGCTCCCTGCTCTGCTTAGCTCTCTGCCCTATCTTGGAATGTGTTACTGAGACCAACCCATTTCAAGCTCATCTGTGCAGTGGCTGCACTGGCAGTGCAGTCCCTGGACCCTGTTCCTGAGAAGCCATAGTCCCTGTAGAGCTGCTGCCATGGCCACTACAGCCTCCCTCACACTTTGAGGGCCATATGTGCTGGCTTTACTGCCAGTTTCCTTCTGAAAACCACCCTCCTGTTTCTGGAAGTGTGATGATACTATGCGGCATGGCAGGTCATTTTGGTCCTGTTGATGTTTTAGCTTCAAGAGTCCAGAGGCTTCAGAAAGAAGATAAAGCGCTTGGAAGAGTCAAATAAGAAGTTGACTCTCGAGCTGGAACATGAAAGAGGGAGGCTTACAGGCCTCGGGCAGGCCAACGCGGCCCTGCGGGAGCACAACAGCATCTTGGAGACAGCGCTCGCTAAGAGGGAGGCCGACCTGGTGCAACTGAACCTCCAGGTATTCAGACCCAGGGACTGGGACAGTGAGAACTGGTGGGCTGAGTGTCACACACATCACATTTCCAGGAGCCCTCAGGGAAACACGGGCTCCTTGTCTTAGAGAGGAAGAAACAAACAAAAGCTCAGAGAATCTGGTTAGCTCAATCCTGGAGGGGTAGAGTGGGAAGCTCTGCTTGTGAAACTGGAGATCACTCCTTACGTTTGAGTGGTGAGCCTTCCAGGGCAGGCAGACTTGTCTTCCAGTCCTAGGCAGTGGATGTTCACCTGTACCCTCACCTGGTGTCAGATCTAGACCACAGCAATCGTAGCCGGACTGTTCTTAGTTCCTAGGTTCCACATCTTCTCTGGCCCAAGAGAAGTCTAGCATTTCTGGGAGTCTTCAAGAGAGTGAGAGAGGGCCACATTGTCCTCCCTTATCCTTCCAGAGAGCATTTTCTTCACCCCGGTTCCTACCACTCCTGTGCTGCCACACCTGATGGCATTTGTGGTTGTAACCCAACATACCTGCATCAGTGGGACCAACTAACCGTACCCAGGACATCAGGTGCCTGCTGTCACGGCAGGGTCGCCCTTACTTCAGCGTCCCCTCTGCAGTGCCCTTGGTGCGTGTGCTCAGCCTGCAGGGCATCCTGCACACTGCCCGTTGCGGGCTCTGCAGGTTCCTGCAGTGGTGCCCCCTTCCCACCCTTCTGCAATGTGCTGTAGGTGCAGGCAGTTCTGCAGCGCAAAGAGGAAGAAGACCGCCAGATGAGGCAGCTTGTCCAGGCCCTGCAGGCCTCTCTGGATAGAGAAAAGCTGGAAGTGAGCAGCCTCAAGGAGCAGGTACGTGGCCAGCTCCCACTCACAGCTCTCAGGGTCCTGGGAGGCACCTCTCGAGCTCTGCTCCTTTCAGGGCTCTACTCCCGAGAACATTGTTGTCCACGCTGTGGTGATGACAGGCTGATGGAGATCTGGCACTGGTCAGGGGACTGTGCATCAGATTAGATGGCCATTCAGTCATGTGGCTTGGAGGGGATGGGCCGAGCACATAAATCTCTGTTAGGAGCAGATGTCCATGTCCTGCAGTGCTGAGTTAGACACGCACACCCTCCGTATGGGTGACATGCAATTAAGAAAGATGCTTCTGGCTATTTTGTGTAGGAGCCAACTGCAGCATGCTGTGGCACAGGCCTTTTTCTTCATTGGTATCTGAGCTTCCTCCTGAAATTTTATTTTTACCTTAAAAGGCATAAATAGGTACATGCCTATAGTATCTGCTATTCAGGAGACTAACACAGAATTGCAAGTTCAAGGCCAGCCTAGGCAACTTAGCAAGACCCTGTCCCAAAATAAAAACATCAAAAGGGCTGGGGATATAGTGGTAGAATGCTTGCCTAGCATACAAAATACTCTGAGCTAGTACCACAAAAATAAGAAATAACTAGGAAATGTATAAGTAAAAGTGTTGGGGGAAATAAATGATGTGACTTTGATTTCTTTCTTCTTTTTCTTTTTTTGAATTTTAGTCTTTTCTTTTTTTTTTAATTATTTATTTTTATTTGTGTGTGGGTGGGTGGGTGTGTGTGTGTGTGTGGGTGGGTGTGTGTGTGTGTGTGACCAGCTCAGCCCACCAGGGGGCGGGGCTGGCTGGCATGTGGTGCTGGGGGATTGAACCGCGGTCCCTGATGCCTTGCCAAGCTTGTTCTAAGTAGGTGCTTTAGACCACTGAGCCATCTCTCCAGCCCTTTTGTTTGTTTTTGGTACCAGGAATTGAACTCAGGACCTTGTGCATGCCAGGCAGGCGCTTAAGGTGCTGAGCTATCTCCCTACTATATCCCCAGTCCTGATGTGTAAGAGTTCTTTTAAATAAAGTGCTATCAGACAAGAAAACTGATTTTTTTTTTTTTTCTGAACTGGAGATTGAACTCAGGCCCTTGCACTTGCCAGGCAAGTGCTTATTCTACTGAGCCATCTCTCCGGCCCCTTTTTTTGTTGTTGTTGTTGTTGTTGGGTTTTTTGGTTTTGTTTTGTTTTTCAGAATTTGCAGAACTGGGGATTGAACTCAGGCTGTTATGCTTGCCAAGCAAGCACTTATTCTACTGAGCTGTCTCCCCAGCCCAAGAAAACTAAATTATTTAAAAAGGAATTTTTTTTTTAATTATTGGTTTGTTTGATTTTAGTTATTTTCTTTTTTTTTTCTGAGACAGTGTCTTGCTATACATTTCAGGCTGGCCTTGAGCTCACTCTGCAGCCCAGGCTGATCTTGAACTCACAGTGATTTTCCTGTTTCAGCCTCCCAAGTGCTAGGATTACAGGCATGTGACACCATACCTGGATATTTTTTAGTTTTTTTGAAACAGGGTTCAGCCCAGGCTGACCCCAGACTAATGATCTTCCTGCATCAGAGTGCTGGGATTACAAGAGTGTACCATCTTACCCACCTAAATGTTTTGGGTTTTTTGGGGTTTTTTTGTTTTTTCAAAGTTTTATTGATAAACAGATAGCTATGAGACAGTTTCAAATCAAATCGGAAGTACAGTTTCAACAAATAATACACTGCATATATTCTTCTCAGTGGTTAATTGCTGTACAAGATGCGGACCTGTGATCCTATTTACAAACACCACTAGAACAAATCACTCCATTCACCAAGAGAATGCAACTATACATCTATCCCAGCCTCTTTGAATACGCAGATACAAAATGGACATTCATCTGTATACCCCATTTTTTCTAAGTTCCGTTATTGAATATTATAGGTGTGTAAACTCAGCAAAATATTCTAAAAGA